AAAAAAAAAAAAGAAAAAAAAAACTATTTTATTATTATTTTGAAATACGAAAGAAAACTAGCAAGGATACTAGTTTAAGCTGCATAAACTACAAAGCATAAATCATCTAAAATAAATATAATATTATATAATAAAATTATTGATAAGTAACTGAACTCTGTTTGATAAAAAAGTTATGCTTGACTTCATGAAGTTTTTGAAATTAGTCATGTGTCAGAGTAAAGATGAAGAACAAACATCCAAAATGTCAGTACAGCATACCCTTTTATTGCAGTGTTTATGTAATATACCATTTCCATAATCTATAATTTATTTTTTGTTGAACAGCAACAGTGATTTCTCAATCTACTAAGCCAGACTTTCGACAACTGATAGAATTGAAGCCAACATTATACTAACCAATTTCTTTGAAAACATTTTCATAGTTTGTCGTTTCTCTTTCATTCATCTCATAAACTGCTTGTGTTTTTCCCATTGCAATCTCACATTGCGCCAACTGGGCAAACATTTTCTGATATGACGGATCTCTGGAATGAAGGGAAATGTAAATAGTTTTATATTTTCACAGCATAATCATCAACATGTCGCAGTACTTAGGGTATGGGATGAGATCTGCACTGTTATGATATGAAGTAAACAGCGAGATAAGGAAGACGAAAACCACCCCTTCCGGATCTAGCATATTGTAAGCATACTTTATTGTAGCTGCAAAGCCCATTTTGGGAGATACATGTACGATAAAGTATATRTAGGGGAGGGGGGCAAAAGTCGGCTTTCGATGCTCAGAAAGACGTTACACAATAAGTTTAAGAGAAATGTATGTGAAGTAAATTCAAACTGCTTTGTGTTTAGAACACTTTTGGGGGCACTTCAAGCAGAAGACACCGTAACATACAGCGTGTACTTGCAATACATTGCTGTTCCAGAGAGCTATTTGAGTGGAATCACTAAACCAAATGGACAGAGCACTACAAAAAATTTCCTTCTTGCCTGTATTTTACAAACGCTCATGCAAATTTTATCGCAAAATCCAGCTTTACTTACTTTTCTTCGTCATTATTGCACCATTTCAGGAATGTCTTCAACAACGTGGTTATTCTTCTGTCATCTCCAACACCTTCTCCGTCAATTAAAAGCCTTTTCCGAATAACTTCATCTGTAAAACATTAAAAAAAACATTTGTATTGAACTTCTCTTTTTTGTTTTGGTAAAAACTTGAGGCAATTTGAGAATACGAGCGGGAAATTTCGAGAAACTCAGAACTTCACTTACCGTCCGCCATGTTTGATGTACCGCGCTGGAGAAAGACACAGGAAGCCCAAAGAACACACAGGTAGCCCGACCACAATATTTCGTATTAAGAGTTCAGGTCGGTAAACAAAAACATTTTGTTAATACAATCTAAAAATTGTAATTAATAATTAAGAGAAAGCTTTTTGACTTTCCTTTACATTATCTGGATTAGCATGAAAGTTTTTACCAATATTTTTTGTTTGTTTGTTTGTTAGGTCATTGTCAGTGTCTCCATTTCACAGAATGTCCATCAACCATTTGTGGCTCTAGAAATCCACGGAACTCACTGCCGTCATGCAACCACCTTGCTCCATACCCCTGACTACATCTTATCTCAACCACCTTCACATCATGAGGCAATGAATGAATGTTAATCCATGCGACGTCATTAAGTATCTTGTGAAGTGTTGTACAGGCATGATTATTCTTTGCATCCTCGCTACCTGTACATACTCCCCAAAACTTTGAAGTGTTGTCTCTATGACAGTGCTTTGATAAAGCTCTAGCACCTACTGAAAGATTAGAATTAGGCTTGTGTTTTTTACAAAATGAATTGATTAACTCCTCCAATGGTGGTGGGAAAAAGTCTATGCTACCAACAGTGTGACGAACACCAAGCAAATCTAACAACATCCTTTTATCTAAGATCCCAAAAACTTTAGCAATATGGATTTCCCTTTCTTCCACATTCCAGTTTTTCCAAGAGTCTTTGAGTTGATTTAGAAGCTTTCCAACATTTTCTAAATCTTCTTTCTTTGTTAAAGATACAACTTTTGTTTGCTCCAATAATTCAAAACTCTGGAGGCTTTCTGAAGGATTTTGTGTAGTTTCCATCCATTTGAATAACTTGTTAGCAATTTCCTTGTATAATGGGTACATAGGATAATGATTTTCACCTGTTAAAGGTGAAATATTGGGACTACTTTGAAGAGGATCACTTGCTGTAGTAAATTCAAAATCTCTTTCCAACAGAGCATCTACAATATCTGTAGTTAGCATTTCAGTAGACCCCTTCTTAGACTGATTCTTTTTTAAGACATTTTTAACAAGATCTTGGAATTCTGAGCAAATAAAATYCATAAATTATGGCAAGTTAAAATCCATTAATCTTGAATTATTTGAATTATTATGATTGCTATGAAAAACCGCTGTACATCAGATCGTGGGCTCAGTTTTTAACACTTTCGAAAAAATCTTGAATCATGTCTTGTATTCCTCGCCTATTTTATTTATTTTTAAGCACCATTTTTATTTTCCTTAGTCAAATTAACCCCACAAACAGTCATAAAGAGATCATTGTAGCGACCTACAACTTATGGAATGTGATGTTTACGTGGGATGCGAGGAAGGTGTTCATCGCTGAGATGGTACGTGAAAAAAAAGCCGGAGTCTTTTTTAAAAAAAATCGCCTTTTAAATTATGTTTTTGTCTTTGTTTTAACAAGAAAAGCCCCTAATTCATACTGCATACTCTTCTCAAAGTATGAAATTACCTCTTACGGGCTATAGCTGTTAATGGAATTTTTTAAAGTCCTATTTTTGATGGTTTTTATAAGTTTAATACTGAATTGATATTTTTTGCTTGAATTTACATAAGTTTAAAAGCTAAAGCTTATGTTAGCTAAGATTTTGTTAATTAAGATTAAGAAATTTGATTCACATTTAAGTGGTTTGTATTTTGGCGTTGGAGTATCTATCATTTCCCTAATCAGGTGTTAGTGATTTAGGTGTTTTTAAATTTTTGTTGCTTGATAAGGGTCAACAAGTCCCATTCAAGTAATCGATCTAGTCTAGTGAAGACTTGGATCATTAATTATGTATTAACTCTTTGATAAATATGTATTTATATCTTAATGCTAATAATTTTTTTCTCTTTAGGCTCTTCAATAGGTAAAATCAGGGGAGAACCCTGCCAGCAGAGGTCTATTTTCGTCTTTCTCTTCATGTTATTGAAAAATAGAAAGACAAAGAGGGACCTTGTTTGTTAGCAGGCCAGTGTCAGGGGGGTTGCATTAGGGGCTCTACCACCCCTCCCCCATGAGAAAAGCCAAGCAAATGTGAATGCAAAATAACTTTTTGGTACATTGTACCTCTGGTTCAATGACCATGCCATAGATCCACAAGTTAAAAAAATTCTTGGATCTGCCAATGCTTTCACATTTTGTATTTTTATTCTCTTAATGGTTTGTTTATGTGGGCTCTCTGTGGCAACAGAGATAGGAAAATCTGAAAGACAGACAGAGTCAGGCCAACCCTTATGACTGCTGATCTTTTTTATGTTTTGAAAAGGATGTTTGTTTTAGTGCGTATACTCTCAAAGTAGTAAATCTTAGATTTGGAAATAAGGGGGCTAATATTCCATTTTACAGTTCTGTTCAATGACCATGAATAATTTTTTAATCATATTTCACACCACCTAGAGTTTACATTACAGTTCTACATTTTTTACAATAAAGGTTTACAATACAATAATTTTATACAATTACATATATATATATATAAAGCATGAATATTTACAATACAGTATCAGCAAGATTATTAAAACTACTATTGTTGTAATAGTTCCAAGCCGAGGTTGGAGTTGCCGCGCATGATAAAAAGTATAGTTTTGCTATGCGTGGAAACTCCAGCTTCGACTTACAACTATTATTCGTGGTCACTGAACGGAACTGTAAAATGGAGTATTGCATCAAGGGGGGAGGAGAGGGGAAGGGGTGCAATAAAGCCCCTACACCTCTCACATGCAACACTGTCATTTGTTGACTTCTTTATTATGATTTTTTTTAGATCCAGAAAGCCAATCCAGATGTCATAGGGTTTCAAGAGGTTCGATCAGATTTATCAGGTCACAGAAACCAAGTGCTCGAAATACAAACCTTGTTGGGATCCACATACAAATACTACAGCTATCACCCAGTGAGAAAAGCATCATCTAAAATAAACCAACCACCTCCACCAGGATGGGAACAGGAAGGACTAGGGATCCTAAGCAAACATCCTATAATGCTTAGCCATGCCGTGAACCTTAAGATAAAGACTAACAACCCTGACAAGAACAACAGGATTATAGTTCATGTTCAACTGGATGTAAATGGAGACGAGTTGGACTTAACATTAGTTCACTTGTCTTATGATAGACAACAGCAGTGTCAAAACGCAATCGATGTGATCAATTACTTGGCTTCTGTTGGTAGCGAGCGATCAGTTATTCTTGGTGACTTCAATGTGTATGAGGATTTTCGTTGGCCAGTGCAAGCCATTTTGAAAGGGTCTTTTGATCCTAATGGTGATTGTAAGCCAGATAAGTACTTTGATGCTCAAGACTCTGGACGTGGTTATGGCTATGTTGATGCATGGCAGTCCACTCATGCTGGTCAAAAAGGCTACACTTTTAGTAACATGGTGGGTTGAATTTAAGTAATATATTCTGTTCTTTTTTATAGCTGTCTTTAATAGTCAGCTTTCTGATTCAATACGTATTTCAGTTGAATCTTTAAAAAACAAGCAAATTTTACCCTCAAAACAATTACTTCTAGGCTGACCTGTGTCCATGCATTGGCTAAATCACAGGCCAAATTAGAATATAGTGTGCTTTGTATATTGAGGAAAACTGGAGAAAAGTCCAGGAATCCAACCTGAGTCCACAGACGTAAGAACCAATTATTGCCACTACATGGATTGATTTGATCTTTCAATGTATGAAATTGCAAAGATTATGCTTCAATATTTGTAACGTCATAATTATTGACCTTCATCTTTGTTTTTTTTAAAAGCCTGAGCCTGGGTTGATAAATCGACCAGACAGAATACTAGTGTCAAGAACTGGTCTTGGTGTGCTTGACGTAAAACTTGTTGGTGGTGGAACTGACTACAGGGACAATCACTACTACAGTATGCTTAACATCTGGCACAGACTCAAAACAGTCCTGAGCTTTGCTAACGACTCTTTACTAGAGGGTAAAAAACCTATTATATACACATGCCATCAAGATTGTGGACCCCATGGGTCTTGCCGCTGTGGAGTTTGTGTCCAAGGTGGTGACAATAACAACTGTGACCTTCAATTCTGTTACGAGTGCACCCCTTCTCATTATAATTCCATGGTCGTGCTCATATTCTGTGCCGTGGTATATTCAGGGTTAATTTTCTACATCATGATTAAACTATTATTTAAATATTTCTTTGCTGGCCGAGCGAGAAGAGTGAACCAACGTTTGCTTTTCTTACTCCCAAACAGAACGCTCTTTTTCTTCTTGGTGTCAATTATATTTGTTATCTACATGATTACCATATTGAATTTTTCTGACACTCTAGATACTGTGTTGGGGCGAATCACAGAAGAAATGTATCCATCAGATCACTTGATGGTTGTCGCTACTTTGAAATTAACTTACCGATAAGTCAATACCATTGAAAAGGGGTCGCAATATCAAGAATAATATTAAAGCCTGGGTCACACTAGTAGATTGCATACCACATATCTGTGAAAAAATGTGTAAGAAATTGCACAAATCAGTAAGTTCAGTAGACCTCAAAAGACTGTGGACCTACAAACCTTTGAACTAATTTGTACAATTCTGTTAACTCTTTCATTGAACTATGGTATGCACTCTATCTGAATCATGAGCAACATAAGCAGCTACTTAGTAAATATTACATTTATCACCTAGGTGTGGAAAAAGACAAGCACTGTTGATAAAAAGTAGGAAAAAAAGGAGAAAAAAGATCAGACAAGAAAATATTTATAAACTTCAGTGAAAAGTAAAAATGCATACATGGATACAGAAAGAAACTAGCAAAAAAGGAAAAAATTAATGTCGTAACCAAAATGAACAAATTTATCAATAAATGTTATTGCTCTTAGGAGAATAGAGTTGCGCAGACTAAATCCCTGAACATTAATTAGTACTAATATTAGTACTATTTCATACAGAATCCTTTGTTTTCTATTGTTTATTTATCACTATTTAGTACTAAAAGTTAGTATTTGTTTCATGGGTTTAGTGCATGCACTCTATCAATTCTTATCAAACTTGTTTTGAAATTACCAATCCTGTAAGTGGTGCTGAATTGTACAGGGCTTCAAATTAATTTATTAAATTATCAGATCTATAACATTCCTCATCAGACGGTGGAGAGGGATGAAATACTTCTAAATTAGATTTACACATTTTTATTAAAGGAGTTTTTGATATTTAGCTTGGTAGTTTTAAGTTGCTTGCGTCAAATCTGGTCATTTTCTCGGTTATGTTATTAAACTCATTAATAATTCATGAGGAAAACACAACAGAAATCATGACCGTGAAGAGTTTTGTAAATCAGATACAGAATCCTGTTCATTTGCATCAACTTTAAGATGGATTTTCTTGGCCAGATTCACTTTTATCTTGAAAATTCTAGCGAAACACAAAGGAACTAACCTAGACGTTTGATAAGCAATCTACAGTATTCGTGTCGGTGTTGTATCCAGATATAAGTTTGTATATCGGATACAACACTGCCACTCATACTGTATATATTACTTAAAGATGAGAGTATGTGTATATATTACTTACAGACTTAACCAAGAAAATGTCTGGATGTGACATGGTCTAGTTTCAAGCTGCTCAATGGAATTTGCTCAAAAATGTCAAAGATGCTGGCTGATAATTTTTATAGACAGAAATAAACAAACAAACAAACGAAAACAAAGAGTAATTTCAGCGAGCAGGTAGCAACTACCAAGTTGGAATAATTATTATTTGAAAAATGCCAAAACTATTTATTATTTGCCATATTTACAATATGTTTCCAGATAACAAAATATCCAGAATTCATTATTTACTCAGAGGAAATGTGCAATAAAGTTATGAAAATATTATTAGACATTAGCTATTCAGATTTTAATGGTTTAAAGCGTTTTTATTTATTTAAACTGGACTTTTTCATTGTGCTTCATGAGTATAGACAAGTATTACTGTCTATTAATAATAGCCCTCTTGGGTGTAATGTTTTCCCATTGTGTAGTTCCAGAAATCATCCATACCCACACCACAGAGGAATTTGGAATTTCCAAAAGGGTGGGGGGTCAGAGAAAGAACAAAAATCACAGAGTTTGTGTGGAAGAAAATTGGAATTTCCGGGGGTAGGGGGGGTGTCTTAAAAAAATTCCTCCATGGGGGGAGGGTATGGATAATTTTTGGAACTACACATTTCAAGATAATTTCTTTTTTAGTTTGAGTCATGCATATCATGCACGACCATTAAAAAGAGATTATACTACAGGGAGGCTAATGACGTAGTTTGAAATGGGAAATCATTATGCCTAAGGTAAAGAGTTAGAATGCATGAAAAGAAAGCTTATTTACAGAGGTATTTACAAGTTGATGAAAATCATTAAGATGTACAGTTCACACCCAGGCAATACACTGTTGGGGTATGTCACTACTCCCCAGAATGCCATACTCTATAGCAAATGACAATTAAAATACCAGGTGATCTCGGGTAATGCCTGAAAAGATCAGTCCTACTTTCAGTTGTTTCTATGCAAACGAAGAGGTATTGTTTTACGCTAATTTCATCACTTATTTCATTGCTTATATGCATGGGCAGTTGCTGACATGCATAGGTATTCACTTACATATATAGGTATATATGATATATATAATTCAGAGGTCTTTTCTCCAACTGGGGCCACCATATTTTTTCAGTATAATAATCTTAATTTTATATGGGATAATTGGCTGGTTTTCATTGGCCTGTCGGAAGGAGATCACCTACACGTTCTATAGCTGTGCTTCTTCTCGCTAGCATGGCACTCAGCAGAATAAGTTAAGAATTCCTCGTAGTATATTTCTTTTTTCAGTTCTACACAATATGCATGGAGTAGTCCCAGCTTGGCTCTCAAGATACACCATTATATTCAACTGATTTGGAAGGGTCTGCTGGGAATTTCTTTTGACAAAATGTCATAAGCCTTTTGAGACCTTGAATATATTTCCTTTGGGTTTCATCATTTAGGACATCTAAATTACTAGAGTTAAGGAAAATGATATCAAGAGTAATGGCAAAGCATCCACTCATTTCATTCAAACATATATTTTTCCTCCATTCATTTTCTTATTATTTCATTTATTTATTTATTTCAATTATTCCCTTCCTTCATTTCATTTCATTCTTTTAATTCATTTTTTTATTTATTCATTCCATTCACTAATTCATCTTTTTGTTTGTTCATAAAGGATACGAGCAACATTTTGTGCAAAGATCTTTTCTCTTCCCGTACGTGCATGGATTCCTACCATGGTAACTCCTATGGGCCAAGGTGCATTGCCGATAGCCATTTGAAGGTATGCGTCATTAGCCTGAAACAACAACCAAAACATATATCATGAAACTTTCATTCTAAGGTGAACACAATCTCAAAATTGCTGAGTAGTGACAGGTGATACCACTACCCCTAGGTTAAAAGGATGTCTTAAGCCCCGTTTACACTAACAATTTTTGTGATGATTTTTGCTGCAATTTTGTCCATAATAAATAATGGTAAAGAATTTACTTGTAAAGTTTTTTTCAGGATACCAAGATTTTCCAAGACGAATGTCTCTTGAAGGATGAGACAAAAGATTTTATATTTCCGAAAATTGCCACAAAAATCGCAGCAAAAGAGGCCGCAAAAATCGCCAGTGTAAAAGGGGCTTTGGAGGCTCTTTTTCACATAGTGGAAATAGTACAGCGACTGCAGAGACAGTCACACTTAACCTTTTCCCAAAATATAGTCTCTTATATTTCTAAATCTTAGCTCCCTCCCCACCTTTTTAGGGTGGGCTGCAGCTGTCCTTGTAGTATCTCAGAGACCTCTCTACAAAATATCTCATAAATACCATTCTTCAAGAGCCCTAATTACATTTTATACTTTTCTTACAGATTGTGATAATTTATAAGATACCTTAACATATTCTCTGTCTATAAGATTTCTTGTAATGTTGGTCAAGGCTTCTCTGATGTCAGCTGGTGTGTTCTATTGAAAAATAACAATTTAGCAAATTAAGTTACATAAACATATATGTCATTGATCAATGTGAAACAGTTGAACAAGAAATTATTATCTAATATAAGGCTGTGTTCATAATGTATGGAATGAGGGGGGGGGGGGGGCAGGTGAAAATTTGAAATGTCCAGAATAATGAAGCCCCCCCTAAGCAAGGCTTGTAGCTTCTTCCAAAAATTGTGCATCCCCCCTTTTTTCTGATAAAAATTTGCCCATCCCCCCCTTTTTCCTTGCATTTCACTTGCCCCCCCCCCCTGCTATACGTTATGAACGCAGCCTAATAGCTCCTTAAAAATCCATATTACCTTGGTTCTTAATTTTCTTATGAGAGGATGAAGATATGACTGGGTCTGCCGTTGAGTTGCACTTGCTAATTTGCCCTAAAAATTAAAAAAAAAAATAATAATAATAATAATAATAATAATAAACAAAAAAGAGTAAGACCACATTAATATTAGTTCTAGCTGTATTTTTTGCTTTGGGTCTCCTGTGGTATAATAAACCACAGGGGTCCCAGCCACATGCAGCCTTGGATAAAAATATCAAAACAATGTGCTACCTCTAATGTTCTCTTTATTTCTTCAGGCTTATTGTTTAATTCTTGTTCCCACTGATCCAACAAAAACTACAAAAATGAATCAAATTGTTATACTTATTGATGTTATCGTTATTGTTATTGAGATTACTGTATCACACATACATGTATGTAATGTGGTATTGTGTGGTTCCTGAAATTATCCATACCCACCCCACAAAGAAATTTGGAAATTCCAAAAGGGGGGGGGGGGGGGGGGTCAGAGAAAGAACAAGAATTACAGAGTTTGTATGGAAGAAAATTGGAATTTCCGGAGGGGGAGGGGGGTCTTTAAAATAATTCTTCCTTGGGAGAGGCATGGATAATTTCTGGAAGTACACTTTGCCAATATAAAATCTTTGCACCATCACATGATGGCAGACATGACAAGAGGCAAGAACAATCGCATCTGGTCTAATATAAATACATAAGAAAGAGAAAAGGTTCTATTGTCATGCCTTCTGTCATGGATGCCATCACATGATGGTGCAAAGCATATTCAGCTTGAACATCCTTTACTTGAGAATAAGATTCTGTTTGATTTGTATCCATCTACATGTGTCTTCTTGTGCGCAACAAAGAAAAACAAAGAAAAACAAAAGAAACGCAGACATGATACCCTGGATGCTTAAAGGATGGTATACGTATATCCCAGATATCTGGTGTTGTTTAGACCAATCTTATATTTTTATAAAATTTAAATTTATTTTTACCTCAACAAATTTCAAGATGACCTCTTGGTCTAGCTTTGCATCTCCTTTTCCCATTCCTTGAGCTAATTCCTAGTGGAAAAATGGAAAAATGAGACAATATATATTAACACATACCAAGATTTTTTTTCCACAAAAGCAAACAAACAAAGCATGAAAAGAATAACAAGTTTGGCTAAAAAAAATAATTAAATAAACGAACAAAATGATAGAGTGCAAACAATATAACCGTGAAACTTTAGTAATACTAAATAGCACAATTTCATGCAAAATCCACTGTTTTCTATTGTTTAATTAGCACTATTTTGTACTATTTAGTAATTAGTGTTTCACGGATTAATTGTTTGCGCTCTATTGATTAAAATCTAACTTACACTTATTTTTTAATTTTAAAGTTTGGGCTCCCTTAATAAAAATAACTTTTGCTAGATTACTAATGTCATTCCCAAAAACTTTTTCAAAGTACTTTTCCTCCCTCATAAGATACTTTTCATTTCAAGATATGTTGTTTACCACCCAGCAGAGCCTTCCCCAAGGGACCTTTGGCTAAATTGAATTTTTGTCAAAATTATATATCACCACGTGACTGTTTGTTGCAAATGGCCTTTGGAAGCTTATTATCCAAGTATGAAGACTGTGCCCAAATACAATACCTGGATTTCATCAAATGTTACTTTCTTGATTTTCTTGTGTAGAAGAACTTGATCCTCTTCATCCTTGTCATGTGTTATACCATCACCCTATTAAATATTAAACCATTTTGTATTTTTACACAATTGAATATAATATGATAAATGTGGCTCGCTCATACACCTAATTGAAAAATGGTGATCAATTTGAACAACTATTGTTCTGCACCAACTTCTGACTGACTAGCCTCATGTTAATAATAATAATAATAATTACAATAGTCCCCTTCGTGGTTCCCTGCGCCATCTTGAAAGGTAGCCAGGCCTTTGCATCGAAGCAAGACGAACAGTGAGATTGCAATGATAGAGACATGTGAATAATTGTTCAAGGTGTTAAAAAAGGTCTCTATCATTGCAAGCTCACTGTTCGTCTCGCTTCGATGCCAAGGCCCGGCTACCTTTCAAGACGGCGCAGGGAACCGTGAAGAGGACTATTTGTAAAGTGCTTATCCAGGACTGCTCTAGGCGCTGTGAAAGATGAAATAAAAAATAATACAAAAATGATGATAACAATCATCAGAAAAGTAATAAAGGTCACACATTAAAAGCTAATTTAAACAAATGAATTTTCAAAAAAGTCTTGAATGATGACAAGCTTTCAGAGTTCGTAATTTAAGATGGAAGGGCATTCCAAAATTCAGGTGCAGATACGGAGAAAGAACGGTAACCATAAGATTTTTTTTCAAGAGGTCTAGGCTATTCAGTCGCTGGTCAGTGCAGAATGATAGATTCAAATTAATCATGTTTCGATGGTCTTACGTATGTTCTCACAAATACTGGTATTAACCAAGTATTAGCATCAAAGCATGAAGACATGTTTCCAATCTCAGTCTTCAATGTTATTTTCAAAAATTAATAATCTAATAATTTCAATGATAACAACATCAATGGTATTCTAATGAAATTCTTACCTGTTTTATGAGATCTGCTAAATATTCCTGGTCAATTTTCTCCATAGCCGCTCTGAGATCATTTCTGAAACCCTGGAAAAAAATTATGATAAAAAAAATTTTTCCTGTCATTGTTGTTTCAATTCTTAATAATCATGAGAAAAATCATTTTGTAGTACCTTGTTGATTTCTGGAGCCATCATTTCAATTCGCCTTATAAAAGAGAATAGATTGGAAATTAAGAAACTTTTTTAATGTAATAATGGGTACGACTAGATAGCTGGGTTTCTGTCATCTGATAAAAGTCTTTGAATGTCTTAATCTGTTGCAAATGGTGGTTAACACCGACCAACATGTGCTGGCATCCAGAAAGATAATAAAGATTACTATTAATAATAATAATAATAATAATAATAATAATAGTAACTATTGAAAATTTGTGATTAAGGTACTGAACATTTTACATGAGAGAGAAAATAACATATATTATTTAATCAAGCAATCAAAACTAGTATACGATGGGAGAAACTTTTTGTCACTCTATACACGTCATGTGTATAATGTGTAGTTCCAAAAATTATCCAAACCCCCTTCACCAAGCAATTTTTTTAAGACACTCCCCTACCCCCTGGAAATTCCAATTTTCTTCCATACAAACTTTCTCTGACCCCCCTACTCTTCAGACATTCCAAATTCTTCTGTGGGGTGGATATGGATGATTTCTGGAACTGCATATTATACATATTCTTTAACACCACAATTTTTACCATTGCATTAACTATTTGGAAAACATACCTTTGTCTTTGGTAAGCTTCTTCATCAGTCTCTCCAAACAGTCTAATTGGTTCACCCCTCTCTCTTAATCTTTTTATGACCTTTGGTTTCCCAAGCAAATAAAACGATATTAATATAAAACATCACAGGAGCTAAGTTACTATTAGCAAAATTTAATAAGAAGATATAACTAGCTAAAAACTAGTGTGAGCTGCGTCGGTGTTTCTAATGAAACAGTAATGATGAAAAGGTAAATTATGCGCTGTGAGAATGAAAAAACTCACTGACGTTTCGGACGCTAGTCCTTCGTCGGAGTAAAAGAGAAAGAAGTAGTAAAAAGGAGTGTATATATGATAGAATAAGACAAAAGAAACCAATGAGAGCAAGGTAAGCAAGGAAACAAAAACAAACAATCAAAAGACAAAAGAAAAGGTTAGTTGAAAGTAAAGCGTTCATTAATCCCGTTGGGACTAAGAGTGCCCAATAGGTGAATAAGCCGCATTTCTTTGGCCTTGCGACAATCATTGTTGCCGTTAATCAAAGAAAGACCGAAAACAAAAAATATTATTTTCAATGTAATTTTCATAAACATGCGAACTCTGTGCCTCCGAGTTGCACACTGAAATTTTATTTTTCGCTGCCGCCAGTCAAAAATATGAAAGGTATCGACTGATTAGGTTTGATTTGTTTAATTATTGCTATTATTATTATTATCATTATCATTATTATCATTAGTTTCATGTTACCATCAATAGACCTCTTCAGCTCTAACGTAATGTTTTCCCATTTCAGACCACATGTCATTCCCTAGAGTATCATTTCTTTGCTTAATGTTTGCACTCGGTTGCACATGAGAAGACACATGAATATGGATACAGCTCAAACAAAGAATCTTATTCCCATGGGAATTGACATGTGGTCTGAAATGGGAAAACATTACCCCAAGCCGAAGAGGTCTATTGAATTTGAGACAAGCCAAGTGCATTCTGATTGAGAGATAAATATTCCCTTAACTCAACAGCCTACTTCCCATGGAAAAATGACAGTTAGTTGGAATATTTATTGGTGACGACTGAAATACACTTGGCCTGTCACAAATTTGATTGACGGTTGCCAAAACCCCAGACATCTGGGGTTGTAGTTAGGTAATATGAACATGAAGCTTGCTGTAATTTGTCAAATGCTTTGTCTTAATAGCAGAGGCTGCATGTATTATAATACCTCTTCTCGTGGCATAAGTACTTGCTTCTTGCCTTCTTGATCTTCACCTTTTCTTTTCTTGTTTGGTAAAAATGCCCCTTCCTCTTCAGTATTCTTTTCATATCTTTCCTGTTAGGTTTATGAGATTTAGGAGTGAGAAAGATTTTGGATTAGTGAATGTAGCATGGTCCTGACACCATCCAAATCTGTGAAAGCCTTTGCAAAAAAAGTGTTAGAAAACAGCTTTGAAAATTACAACATTTTTTTTTCTTTCTAAATGACAACACAAATAAAACAGGTTTTTCTGTGCTCCATTCAGGAATACATGGAAGTGAGGAAGCATAAAAGGCATGTTAGAAGCAGTCATCTTACTGTAATATAATCAATCATCCACTGCAGGCTTTGTTACAGAAAAAAGCATAGAAAGCGGTGTTTTATTGTGTATCAAAATAACATTCAATCTAATCTACATATCTGAATTTGTAAATGAATATCATACCTCTTTTTCTTTTCGTTTCAGCTGCAAAATACAATGACAACAAGCATGTAAGCATACAGAAAAGAGGTCAACTCCAAGTGAAATTTTTAATACAAAAACGTATATATTAAAACCAATAGATCTTAGATACACAATACCTCTTGCTTTCTCTTGTACTCTTCAGCTTGTTTGGCAGCCAGTTCTCCTCTTTTAAAATATTTTTTATTCTATAAAATAAATCAAAACGAACAGTCAAAATGCATCGTTAGCTTCAAGATGTGGAAAAACTACGACAGACAAAATCATGAAGATATGAACAAAAAAAACGCTGTAAAAGATAAAATAATTGCTTTCTTACCGAAGTGACTTCATTTTGGTCTAGTTGTTTCTTCTTACGATCGATCTCAGCCAGAAGAAAATCCATTTAATTCATAAAAAACGAAGAAAATTGAAGAAAAACGTTGCACTCAACAAAAAGACGTCGATAAAAACACACTGGCGAGTCTGCGAACCGTCTGGTCAGTAATAACACACTAAAAATACACAGGTATCCCACGCTGCACTTTTGTGAAGTGAGATCGGATGAAAATGGGATGGGCAAAAGTATAAACGGGAATGAAAAACAAAAAGACCTAATGAATGAAAGAGAACAGTTCAAAGTGAGATTTCGTGATGAACATAAATGGTGAAGGACGAAGGAAACCTAAAGTGGAATAGAAACTGCAATATATCAAAGTGTCAGTTTACTCGTATTTATTCGTTTTCAGAGGTTCATTTCATTTCTAACTCAAATTCGCCACGATGAAGACGAAATTGTACAATAACACAATCTCATTCCCAAGCTATGAGCATTTTGCGTCAGGAATAATCTTGGCCACGTTCTCCTCCTTGATATTCGTGGCAGCCTGTGCTCTGCTTTTGTTGTATTACTGGAAAAGAATTGGTCGAGCCATGGTGGAGACAAGGATTGGCGTCGTCTTATTGTTCCTTGGTGCTCTGCTCACAACCCTTCTAAGTCTAGGATTTTATGTCCACCTGAAAGTGTACGGTATCTATAGGCTTTTATTGGTGATTTTTGTAGGAGTGGTCTTCCTGTGGGCTGGAACTATGGTACTCTTTAATATCCCAGGCAATGCTGCTAGTGGTGACGACGATCGTCGACCTTTGATCCCCGTAGGCCACACTAACGGAAGTATGGGGATAGTCATGTGGGTTATTGCCTTGCCTCTTTGTGCACTTGAAATGTTATTTAGTATCGGTGGATTTAAGTCTAAAGCGCCTATTTATGCGTCGGTAAAATTCGTTTGTTTGGTACAGAAGCTCGTTCAAGCCTCTATCTACCACTTCAGTTTACGTCATAAAATACCAAGATACTCGATGCGAATGGGTTGTTCATGGTTCTTGAAAACGATTTCACTATTTAATTTTGCTATGTGGATCGACTCCATCGTCACCACCCACACTGATAACGCCTTTGTCATGGAGCTTTTTGGAGATGGTTTCTCTATCGTGAAAACTGTCTACAATACCCTCATTATTGATTACCGACTTCTCTGCAGCATCTTGTTTCTGGAGCATGCGCTTGAAATTGAGGGAAATGAAGCTCATGATGGTCATAATATGAATCATCATCAACAGATCGAAGACTCCATCCACAATGACAATGCCGTACAAACACAACAAGCTGGGATGATTGAAGACGTTCAAACCCGTCATTACTCCGGTTATGGCCATGTCATTGGACTGGTTTGCATCTGCGTCCAGTTAGTCAACGGATTACAATATATGGACTTGGTGGGAACCTGGACCAGCATTTTTCCAATCCTTTGTAACATCGTTGTTATCGTTACTGAACTGATTCTAGTAAATGGAGAGACCTTAAGCCTATCGGAAGACGATAACTTGATCAGATGGCGGGAAACCGAGTCTAAAGCAATAGATGTGATGATTGGCTTTATGGGAGCTATCGGGTTTGTCTACCGAATCATGAAGACGTCCTTCTGCTTAATCTGGAGTTCCCAAGCACGAGGCGAGCTGCAAACCTACCTCATCTGGAATTCTTCGAAAGAAGCTGCACGCGCGATCAGTGTGGTTTTTCAGCTTTACGTCTTCGTCAAGGTGGGTCCTCATTTTTGTCAAGAGGCGCGAAACCAAAGAAGAAGCATTTGCCATCTTCTAGTTCCCGCTGTCATGCTCGGTCTTCTGTCTACCTTCATATCTTGTACCATTGATCAGTACCATGGGCAAATCGAATATCTGATCAACCACTCCCAACTTGACCCGTCTATGACCTCCTTCTTCAATGCTGCAGCACCTATTCACCTTGGCTTCTCTCTGCACATGTTTCTGCATTTTTACATCATCAAGCGCAAGATGCGAAGAACAACAGCAATTGTTCGTCCAACGCGTAGAGTCCAAGTCGTTGAAAGAAAATCGATCAACTCCGATCTGGGAGAAAGGGAGCCTCTTTTGTCGATGATTGAAGACCGTTGAAGAGCATGACGGACCCTTTGCCTTGAATTATTTTGGTGTAAAAATTAAACTGCAGAAAAATAAATAAAAATAAAATTTTAATTTAAAAAAAAAAGTTTCATGTCCAGTACTCGGGAAAAAATTGTTTCACAATCATCTCTCCGGGGTCTCGAGATAATTCAAGCCGTAGCGTGAAATAGCTTATCTTCTATTAACCCTCTACAGAAAATGAGACACCATTAGCCCCCCGTAATATTTTTTTGCTAAAACTGGGAGTTTTTTTTGTCTCTGCAGGAAAGGACAGGCGATGTTGGTGTATTGTGGAAGTGGTGTATTGTGGTAGTGGAGTGGCATGGATACGATTGTTAGAGTGCTGTATTGTGGTGGTGGTGTATTTTGGCGATGGTGTAGTGTGGTGGTATGTATATATTGTAGTCAGGTGGTAGAGTCGCGGCATGGATTGTGCTGAAGTCGACATAGATTCTGGTGGTGGTGTATTGTGGTAAATTATGGTGGTGATGCAAGAACTGGTGGCGCAGTGTTAGCGCTCCCGGATTTGGTGCCGAAGGTTCGGGGTTCGTTCGATCCCTGGCTCATGCCAAAATTGAGGTGCCAAAACCTGGCTTGATCTTTTCATTGGGATTGTAAATCCCTCGTGGCTCGGATGACTACGTTAAATGGCGGTCCCGTCTCCGAATAATAAAACGGGGACGTAATTTAGAACCACTGAGATCGCAACAAAACCCTGGCCGTGACCACTCTCGGTGCCAGTACCGAAGCTATCTGAATATACGAGTGCTAGAAATACAGAAAAGGAAAAGAAAGGTTGTGATGGGCCGGGGGTGATGGTGATGCATGGTGATGATGACGATAATGGGGGTGGTGGGACGGTTTGAGTTTCCAGAAAATCAAAAGATGTTTGTTTCGATGGCATTTGGATCGATTCCAACAGCTAGTCTTGAATCGAAAAAGAAAGTAACGAGTTTCATTTTCTAGTCAGGAAAAAAAAAAAGGGTTGGAATCTTCGTCCAGTAGTGGATAAGTCGATGCTGTTATCCAATAGATTTCTCCTTATATCCTAATCATGACGTAGCTCATTGATGTTAGGTTCCGTATATATTAAAACAAAATTGGCCTTGATGGCTTCCGGTTTGTATTAGCTCGGATTTCTAAGAAAGACTCTGATACACAGCTAGCTGGAACGTCCATACAAACTTCCCTAATACATGAATTCACTACTTCAAATGACCAGTGTACTATTATTATAGTGCTTGCAAAGGTTTTACAGAGACTCAGATATTGTCTTCTTTTCCGACTGAACGTTTAAACTTAACTTGGTGGCTGCCCCCTGCACGATATCTCCTCTACGATGATTGCTCATTTTTATACAGCCTTTTCGATTAGCTCTAATGCAACAGCTCAAGCTCCAACCACAGGGGTTATGACGGACGTATCTTTGGCTTCGAGTGTTATTCTCACTGTAATGTCAAGCGTTTTGTTCTCGTCTGCCTCTGCCGTCTTGTTCCTGTATTACTGGAGACGACTTGGAAGAGCATTAGTCGAAACAAGAATTGGCCTTGTCATTTTCTTTCTAGGCGCTTTGCTAACCGCTATCACAACTCTCGGATGCTATAAACGCGACAAAGTCTACGGCGTCTACACACTTTTCATCGAGATTTCTATTGGTATTATTCTTATGATTGCAGGAGTTGTCTCGCTATTTGAGCGACAGAGTCCAGAAAGAGAGATAGACGACTATGGGCGGCCTTTGATTCCTGTCGGTCACACACATGGTAGTACGGGGATAGTCATATGGGTGATCACCATTCCTCTCAGCGCTCTAGAGATGTTATTTGCCATTGGCGCAGCTACCAAGGCTCCTGCACCCGTGTATGCTACAGTTGAGTTCGTTTCTTTAACCCAGAAGCTCGTTCAAGCGTCTATTTACTACTTCAGTTTACGCCATAAAGTGCCAAGTCCTTTGATGCGAATGGGTTGCTCATGGTTTTTGAAAACAATTTCGCTATTGAACTTTGCTATGTGGATCGACTCCATCGTCACCACCCACACTGATAACGCATTTGCCATGGAGCTTTTTGGAAAAGGCTTCTCTATCGTGAAATCTGCCTACAATGCCTTACTTATTGACTACCGCCTTCTCTGCAGCTTGCTATTCCTGGAACATGTGTTTGAGCTCGAAGACACGAGGGATAACAGTATAGAGGCCCCTTACGACTTGTTCGACGAGCCACGCCCCGACAGAGAGACAATGAACAGTACATCAGTTAACGTTGAGGTCGTTCACTACTCTGGTTATGGCTACATGATAGGGCTTATTTGCGTGGGTCTGCAGTTAGTCAATGGGTTGCAATACCTAGACTTTGTTGGAGACTGGTCGAACATTTTTCCTATCTTGGCCGACTTTGCGGTCATTTTATTTGGTCTATTGCTTTTGGGCGGCAGCTCTCCAATTGAAAACAACCACAGAAAATGGCGGGAAACTGAATCAAAAGCAATAGACATCATGGTAGGTTTTATGGGTGCTGTTGGGTTCGTTTTCTGGTTGATGAAATCCTCCTTTTGTTTTCTGTGGACATTTTCTACCATGTCGAAACCTGCTGACAAGGCGACAAAATCCTATTTGGCATGGACTTCTGTGAAGGACCTGGTGCGTGCTATTGGGATGTTATTCCAGCTTCACTTCTTTGTCAAGATGGGTCCACATTACTCCAGGAACATCGGTCGTCGCATGTACCATCTTCTAGTTCCAGCAATCATGCTGGCGCTTCTGTCAATTTTCGTAGCATGTGTAATCGACCAGTATAATGGACGTGTGGAACACTTGATCAACCAATCCCATCTTGACCCGTCTATAACCTCATTCTTCGAAGCTGCCGCACCTATTCATCTTGGCTTCTCTCTTCACATGTTTCTGCATTTTTACATCATTAAACGTAAAATGAGCTCGCTGCAGTATGTACACCCAAGACGTGATGTTCATTTCTCTCAGGTTACTGAGTCTTATGGCTCAAATGAAAGTGGGAATGGAATGAATGAAAGAGATGAAAGGGAATCACATATATACTCAAACACTTGAGTGGCAGCAAATCTCCAAAATTATAAACATTTTCATCACTCTACCCACGCAACGTTTCTCTCTCCAAAACGTTGCGTGACAGACCTTATGAACGTCTGCTGAGGAGGCTAAGATACCATATGTACTAAGGGTGTAACAGGAAACCCAATATTGCAAAATACTAGTCTTTTATGTAACAGAGCTTTAAACTACTTTACAGTCAGACTCTGCTCTGAAGCCTGACCTTGTGTCATGCATGTAGTAACTAGGGGGCTAGCTAGAGTACAAACACTATAAGTGTGTAACATAAATACCACTAAATACTGCTAAATTATGCTAATCCTATTGTTTTATATTGTTTGATTAGCACTATTTACTACTAAATAGTGAAAAGTGTTGCACACTTTTAGTGTTTGTACTCTAAAATGAAGTGATAAATAATATTAGCACCCAGTTAAGTTATCCAGTTTTAATACTTTATTTTATATTCTACTCAAATCTAAATCAAATTACTATAGTATCATCAAAACAACTACACTGCAAGAAATCAACCTGTTAGAGTGCAAACCATAGACTGCAAACAATAATTATCTGTGAAACACTAATTACTAAATAGTACAAAATAGTGTTAATTAAACAATAGAAACAATGGAATTTGCATGAAATTGTGCTATTTAGTATTACTAAAGTTTCACGGATTTACTGAGGTCACTCTATGCCTTTACTCTAATCTGTGAAACACTAATTACTAAATAGTACAAAATAGTGCTAATTAAACAATAGAAACAATGGAATTTGCATGAAATTGTGCTATTTAGTATTACTAAAGTTTTACTGTTATATTGTTTGCACTCTATATCCATGAAATATTATTAAGTAATTAGTACAAAATAGCACCAATGAGACAACGGAAAAACAAAGATATATTTAGTTTTTGTGCCATTTCATGTATATATATGGTTCGCACTCTTAGTTTACTTTAAGCATTTTTATTCTAGAGTGCAAGCACTTAATCTTTGAAACAGTACTACATTTATTCTGCACCATATAGTACAATTTCTATCCTNCCCCCCTTCCCCCAATGTTTCACCGGTGCTATTTAGTACTAATAGTGCTAGTTATATAGCTACAGCATAATCAAATACTCTAAAATCCGGGGTAAAATTTTTGTACTGATTATCAAACCAATAATCGACTCTACCACCATGAAGCAAACAGTCTGGAAATTATCGACAGAAATTTACTCTTTACTTTTAATACTGTATGTTAAGTACCAATAATTATAAAGCTTTTTCAAAACTAAATGCATATCTGCGTGAACTCGGGCTTCATAGCAGAAAATCGAAAGAATTCTTCGTGAACACGTCATCCTTCTGACGAAACCTTGAAAAACTCTGCCATTGCTCGCGACCATGTGCTTATGTGGCGCATACTACGCACGCGCATAGAACTTGCGCATGCACTTTGAATGCAACTGCGATTTGTGACAGAACGCAAATAAAGCCCAATTTATACCTCGGGCATTTCTTTGAAAGCCCGAGTAAAAAGTTCATAACGGTTTTGTTGCAGCAACCACAGTATAAATTTATTTGCTCAGTCCTAAAAAGTGTATACATGACATTTGAAGTGTACTTTAGTGAATATTATAAGAGTGTGCTGAGCTAAATTGTAGAAGTAGAAGTAGCAATTAATCCTAAGTTATACGCTGACAGTCCAGGATTTCAGCACATATAGTCGTAAATATATCTGTAATATTCTATCTTAATCTAGTTATTTTTTATTTTAGTTATAATCTAGTTATTGATTTTAGAGTTAAATAGCATCCAAGATTATTACCATATAAAACTTAGGCCGAATACAAATGTTGAACTTCACAAGAGCTGCACCTAATAACCATTGTTTTCAATTGTTTTCATTGATTGCTCATGTAAAGTTCAACGTTTGACCTGAGTCTAAGATGCAAGCACCAAAAATAATTAATGATATATAACAAAATTCTAGAAATTTTACCTTCACTCAGTATGAATTTTTCAACTATTTTTTAAGTTTTCTAGTACAAAGGAATGGACAAAAGCTGGCAACTGCATATGTCATGGAACAGTGCTTTAAAAGAGATGCCTTTCAAATAGAACACAGTAAAACCATGAAATAAAAACAAAGTTGATACTGACAAATAGTACTATAGAACATTTGTTTTTTGTGTAATAAATGTTCTGTTCGAGAAATACGCAAGAGAACATTTTTGCCTTTTGTGTCATAAATGTTCTAGTTGAGTGATAGCAACTATAAGTGAGTAAATAGCAATATTTGTCAGCATCAAGTTTGTTTTTATTTAAAGGTTTTTACTGCATGCGCTCTATGGCAGTGATAGCTGCATAGAACAACTGATTTTCACTAAGGTGGTCTTGCATTCTGAATCCACTTTATGAAAAGTCAGTTACCCGTGCATAGACAAATGTTTTTATGTACACCTGCAGGTCTGTCATCTGACTCGGGGTGGAGGGGGGGTGGGGGGTAAATTAGTGGAATTAAATCTCTATCATCTTAGCAACTATTTTCATTTGTCACAAAAACCACTGTTACCAAACAATCAAAAGAGAAAGGAAAAATCAAAAGGAAGGAAAGAAAAATTCAAAATTTAAAAATAAATTTTCTCAGAGGCAAACCAAATGCTTCTAAGTGATTTTTCATTTTTATCTTGAAACCATTGCAATTCAGATTCTTTTATCAGGAGCTAACATGCATTGGTACAAAAGGAAGTGCCAAAATTGTACAGCACTGAATAATGTATGTCTTGATTTTAGATCTTCATTGCTGACACAAAGGTCTTTGGACTCCAATGAAGAAGCTGTTTCAATGAACTCTAGCCCTAAAGTCTATCGAGGTGGGTTGAAATAGAACTTCTTTGTTAGCATGCAGATTTCTGACGGCATTTGTTTATGGCCATGGTTGCTGAAGTATGAAGAGACACGGCTGTTAACCCTCAACATCATATCCATGAGATGTTCATCAGGCGCATACTCTTTAAATACCTCAACCAAACTCCTGATAAACCAAGAACCCAGTTCTGGGTTTCTGTAGCTCTCGTACCCAGGAGATGATGCATAGCAGATCAGGAAATCAGCATCAGAAGGCAATCCTCGGCACTGCATTGGGACTGGTTCACTGTCGCTTTCAACTGGGGCAATATCTTTGTTAGAACCTCTACAAGCCTGAATGAAAAACAGCTTTGGCTTGTTCTCCAATGAGGGGCACGGACTTCGACGGAACTTACTGGTCAGGGCCTCTACTTGAATCACTTGCTCGTCAACTCCGTAGATCCCATCGGCAGAACCATGGCTTAGAATTACACAAATAAAACAATCAAATTTACTAAAATCTTTCTCTGAAGTCTCAACTAGAAGCTCGAGGATCTGAGTGCTGGTGAGATTTTCCATTACTTTAACTGGGTGAAGGCCAAATTCATCAAAGAGATTTTTTAAGTTTTCTACATCTTTTGCTGAACCAGAACGCTCAACACTTGAGCGATGAGGGAATGTTTGATTATTAATGATAAGGACATAGCCATTCTTGATCTTTCGATGAAATTCATCAGTTTCTCGTTTAGAGCTGGGAGGTTCTCCGGTTTCTTGACAATGAATGCCACCTGTAAAAAATAAAACTTGAATGCTTATTTCTTATATCATTGTGCAGACACACTAATGGGACCACTTGAAAAACGTTAACCAATCACAACATTGAGTGAAAACAAAGGAATCAAACTTAAGTCAAAGTAAAGCCAATCTGGAACCAGCAATGAAGTGTAGATATGTGAGAAAAAAATAGATGTTATCTGGCCAAGGCTGAGGTCAGAATGATGTGAATTTTGCTCTCTCCTGATTGGCTAAGTGATCCAGGTTAGTATACGGTAAACAGTCACCCCTAAAAATGTCTGTAAGGGGTCTATAGATTTATATAATTAAATGCTTATTACCAGAATAAATTATGAATTTCCTTTCTAATGCCTTTAAATATAAATTTTCTTGTCCAAAGAAATTCCAATTGGAATTTAGAAGTTGATTTTTGCAGAAGGAGGAAAACTGTAGAACCCGGAGAAAAACCCTTTAAGCACAGAAGAGAACTATATAGCCCTTGAGCAACCCTACTCACATACTCAGCCATATGGAAAGGAATGGAACCCATTTCACATTGGTTCTTGAAAGGGTTGCATTCTTATCACCAAGCCAACCATGCAAGTATATCCCAAAGAAAGACTTTGATAAATACATGTATACTGAACACTCAGCATTATAAAGTTTTTGTTACTACAGAGGAAGGAAAACTGTCAGAAGAAGCCAGATAAATACCCCAAGATCAAGTCAGAATTACACCACCCCTAATTCCTAAATTCTAATTTTCAATATTAACGTTTTGGCCTCTGTAATATTCACATATCAATATTAAGCCCTAGGGGGGAGCCGAGGGGGAGGGGAATTGACATAATTCATTAATTTGTTCTAGTATCTTATACCTGTATTTTGAGATTGAATTTCTTGTCTATCTTCCGGTTGATTTCTGTAACTTGTAGTTTCAACTGTACAAAAAAACAACAACAACGAAATACTACATACTTAGTACGTACACTAACTATGTACGCGTGATGTTGAATGGATATGGTAATTGATACATACATAAAATCAAACTGATGTCTCTATAAATAAATCACCTCGAAAATTCCCTCTAAATGAAAACGAAATAAAGCTCGAAAATTTTTAAGCTCAATTTATGAATTTTTCAAGCTGAGTAAATGTTTGTATCATGGATAATTGAAAGGAAATCTGAACTGTATAAGTTAAGAAACCCTATAACACAATTGTTTTTAATTGTCGAGTTTCGCTTTAAAAATGCAATATTCTGAATATGGTTACTATTCATTGACAAATAAACTTATATTACAATTTACTTATAGGCTAGATACCATAATTTATTAACAAATTAAACTTTCTTGAGCTTAATGAGTTGGTGAGATAAGCTTAATCTAATATCAAAAGAACGATTCGAACAAGCGAGCGAAAACAACTTTGTCATACAACATAAATCAGCTTTTTGTATTACGTAAAGTCCTTATTAAAAAATTGAGTGGAAGGAAAAAAACCATACACAAAGAAAGGAAAAGGTGATGGAGATCAGATCGAGTTTTAAATATGAAAACAAAGAAGACTTCCACTTATAAAAAAACGAAGACTCCCAAATCATGCTTCTCTAAGCAAAAAATTTCGTTTCTTCTCACCTTTAGAGACGCCATGATGAACAGTGATAGAAGAGCCATCTCCAACAACTACTGCTCCGGTAGACGATGCTATATTAATGTTAAATTTGCTAGCCATTTTTCATATTTGAGGACAGTTACTTGCACTACTTCTTCTTTCCTTGCAAAATGGCAGATAACTTGAACCCGAACCAGTCCAGACCAGATTCTGACGAGGGTGTGGATCCTCGGCCGGAAGCCGAATGCGGTGAAAGCGGAAGTATTCGTATCAACACAGGGAGCCCATCAACGCGAACCCTCGTGCGTGCTTCTATTGAGTATTATTGCTTTATTAATTATTTCTGATGAAAAGGATGAATATTTATGTATATGACCAAGGAGTCCTTTTTCTTTGGGCATAACATGTGCAGAAAAGTTTGTGTGGCTCTATTGAGTATTATTTTTTTGTTACACTGATTGCAGAAAGTTTGTAGTATACATTTATACAAATATCTAATGAGATGCAAGATATCAAATAAGATGCAAAATGTAAAATATGCGTAAATACAATCTTGACCACAACATTTTGTGAAAAATATTTTTTTAATTGACTGTGTGCAATACTTATGTCTCTGATACAATAGAAGATAAGGAAGAGCAATAAGTTACTTTTTAAGTTTTGCAATTGTATCTCATTTGACATCTTGCATTTCATTAGATATATGTATAAATGTAAATGTACAACCTTTCTGCAATCAAATGTATTACACTTTTTGATAAAACAGTGTTATTAATGATGAAAAGGTAAATTATACACCGYGAAAAGATGAAAAAACTTACTGACGTTTCGGATGCTAGTCCTTCGTCGGAGTAAAAGTTAAATTTTAAAAGTTAAAGTCCTCTGACGAAGGACTAGTGTCCGAAACGTCAGTAAGTTTTTTCATCTTTTCACGGTGTATAATTTACCTTTTCATCATTACTGTTTCATTAGAAACACCGATGCAGCTCACACTAGTTTTTAGCTAGTTATATCAGTGTTATTAATGTAGACCCAGCTTGCATGCTTAGGAGTTTGCCTTGTGCTTGTGCTAGACTAGGGAAGCAGAAATTGACATAAAAATAATATACAAACAAAAGAAGTTGACATCATCACAGGGATCCCATCAATGCCGACGATCGACGATCGTATTGAATATTAAGTCTTTGTTACTTCGTAACATTAGAGAAGAAAAACTAATGTAAGATCAGGACAAGAAGCAGAAGAGAAGAAAATATCATTTATTTGTACAATCATTGTTTTACATTTTCATGATATTTGAATTTATTCTCAGTAATTAATTTTATAATATTTAATTACAATTGATTATATATAGACACCAAAATTTAAAGAAAAAAAAATTTTCCCATACCTATCTAAGTTTTTGATAAAAAATTATCAGATTATAAATCGTATAATAAAAACAATACATTCCAATCAGAAAGCAGCAGAAAATAATAGTCTTTTGACATATCTTTTTATCCCACAAGAAAAATAATGACAATGGCTATCTAGTTGTTTACGGGTGACATTGGGATCAAATTACAATTCTCGTGCAGTCCAGGTTTCTGATTGGCTCAACCAAGGGCAGATTCAGCCACAATTTTAGGGGGGGCTAATTGAGTTTCTTTGGTCAACACAATGGAAAACGATAAAAAAGCATCTAATTCTTCAGTTTTGTTTTGTTTTCTGCTGAAGGGATGGGGGGCCTCAGCCCCCTTTTGTCCCCCTTGGATCTGCCGTTGTCCACTACCCAAAGTTGGAATGTATTTTTCTATTCTACATTTTAATTGGTTCTCTTGTCTAATCTTGTAGACCTATAATTATAACTAGACTGGTGTAAGTGGCCCAGGTTACGGTAGTTGCAAATAAAATAGACCCATGCATGTTGGTGTATGTACGCTGCCTATATTTTGCAGAGCTTGTTTTTCATGGATTCATAAAATACCAATTTTTTCTGGATTAAAGATAATCATATTTTACTCAGGGCCCTAAAACTAAAGGCCTCAAATCAGCATTAAAAAAACATGATACTTTCAATAGGATGTTTGCATAATGGCATCATTTGACTTCCTCTACCAAGATGGTTCATGAACTTTCTTTCTTATTCAAATTTGTATTCCCTCATGAGAATAGTAAGACAATATTGGTGCTAATTAACTGAACAAAAGAAAGTGTGCAAGGAAGTCTGGTAGTAGAGGTCAATGATGCCATCATGCAAATGTCCTATACCAGTTGGAAAGTAAAAAAATAAATTTATAATATCCTACATTCGCTGGCAGTATAACATGAAAATTCTACATAAAATCAAGCCCTACTCTAGTATTAAGCAAAAAAGAAATTAAATTGAAGTATCTAAACGTTTATAAAAAATGGGAAAGTGATCAGACAGCAAAGAATTGCAAGAGAATGTAATTAATTGAGCATGAAGTCCATTTTGCTAGCCAATTTTGAGGCCATGTTTAGCATTTTTTTACTTAAACGAGGAAGGATGTCATTGACATTGTATTCATTGTGTTTTAGTGAAGCACTGTACAGCATTGGCTATATCATTAATTACATTCAGCAAATATCCATGCTTCCCCTTGCTTAATGAAGTTCCAAGTGGTGGAAATGATACAAGAAAAGAAGGATATTTTAGTCATTTAAATTTTGTTTACATGTTTGTTTTCATGTGAACATTCTATGGGCCAGATGAGGCTTGAACCCCTTGCAAAAAAGGAAAGGAGAAAAGTGTATATTGGACATTTCAGGTGTATGAGGTCCTTTTGCATTTACCACAAACCTATTGTATTCTTCATTAGCTTCGTTATTTTGTAGAAGTTCTTGGAGTGTTTTGTTGTCTCTATTCAATAATTATGTAAACTGGTAAACTATAATTTCGTAGCCTAATCTAGTCAGACATCTCAATCACAACATAAACGTTTTTCTGACGGATTTTTTTTCTGATTGGATAGCTGAATGAACCCTCCTTGACCAGCATCTGTATGATCCATCATGTCCTCAGACTGGGCTTCATAGTTTTGCAAAAGTTCATTGATAAGGTAGCTAAAATAGAATCAAATTAAAGAACAAAAATAAAATTTCAAGAACGAACACTATTATAGAAGTCAAGTTATATAGTATATAGTACAGAAGTTACTTTAGTGAGACAAATTGGCCTTAAATGGATATGCAAAGTCAATAACATTAATCCTGAATGCTACCTGGCCAGAGGGAGGGGGACTGGGGTACGTAGCTAGGCTACAGCCTTCCTAGTCTAGCTCCTCCACTGAAGAGACAAGGAATATGAAGAGAGATTGAGAAGAGAGAGGCAACTCTTCCAATGTTCTCCGTTCCATTCTTTTCTCTGTCCTCTCCCCCAGCGCTTTCTCAAATGCCTGCAGATCAAGGAGGCTAAAGCCCTCCAAGCCACTAGCACTGCAAACTATATGAATGTGCATCCTGGTAGCACTTTAGCTATGAAACCAACTCCCCCCCTCCCCCCGCCCAACCACACACACACTCATTATTGAATACTTCACTTTTACAGCAAAAACTGTTGCATTGAGACTGACTACTTTAAAACTTTGGTTTGAGTTTGATTATTTTCTAACCCCCAAGCTAAGGGAGATGTAGAGGCATGGCTGATACAAATACCTCTTGGAACATGTCAGCTTGCTCAGCTGTGCCAATCTCACATCTACAATATTTGTTTGTGAAATCACAATTTTTGCTGTAAATACAGGTAACACCATGAAAAGCAGGGCTTAAAATAACGGCTGGCCAGTGGCCGGTCATGATGACTGGCCAAATTGGTTTTAGCTTGGTCATACTTACTCCATAGTTTCCGAGACGTTATTATCATCCTTTACTGACATCTCTGTCCATCCTAAGAATGAATATTCTCTACAGACCTTGTCAATGGTTTCCTTGGCAACTGGTCTTGAAGTCAAATCACTCTGAATACAATAATAATATTACAATAAAGCAGCAGTAAGGGGGACTCGCGGTCACCATTCGGAATCGCCCGGGGATTACCTGCCCCCACGTAACGGCGCCGGCCGCGGGAATTATTCGAGCCAACTCTACGGACTTTTAGGCAAATATCCGATTTGTCCACTTTACCCGTACCAAACCCGTAGGCAGTAAGGGGGACTC